CATCAACACCCCAGCCCCAGAGAGGACACAGAGGCCCTCAGAGGGGGACAGACGGCGGCTCCTCGGGTCGACAGAGGCCGGGCGGCTCCCAGGACAGCACGCAGCCAGCAGGCAGGGCAGGCCGCCCGGCCAGACGGGCTGGACGGGGAGGGACCAGCCCCTCTGAGCGGAGAGGCCGCTCTGGTCCGGGAGAGGGCTCACGCCCAGCTCAGGTCGGGGGGGGGAGGTGATTTCCAAGAAGGGCTTGGGCTGCAGGGTCACCCAAAGCTAAGGGTTGTTGTCTTAAGAGAAAGAGGACCAGCCCCTGCTCTGCCGCCCAGGCGGCCCCGACTGCGCCTCTCCAATCAGCCAGGGCCCCTCATGCCATTGCGCACACGTCCTGTCTTCTCAGCTCCCCGCCTCTGCGCTCAGCGCCCTTCCCTGCCTCACGGTCTCCAGGTGTTCCGGGGTTGGCAGCACTCGGTTCCTTTCGGCTGCAGGACAGAGGTCCCGTTTCCTTGTGGGCTGGGGACCACCCAGCTCCTACAAGTCGCCCCCAGGTCCTTGTCTCGTGGCCCCTCCGCGGGCCCCTCACATGTCCACCCTCTCTATACTTCAAGCCTCCAGCTTCACGAAGGGCCCAGTCCTGTGCCGTGACCCCGGGCACGTGACCCCATCTCTCGGTGCCTGGGCAGCCACACCCGTCAAATGGGGCACCCACGTCCCGGGGTTCGCCATGGCAGGGATGAAAGCTGGCGTGGCCGGCCCCCCTCCCCGCTCCTGCAGGCCGGGCCCTGGGCCGGGCGGGGGTGAGGAGGGGGGCCGTCGGTGAACGGGTGCCAAGCAGAGGGCTGCAGACGGAGCGTGTCCTACGTCACCGCCCCTCCCCGCCCCAGCCCTGCGCAGGGCCCACCCTCTGAGTCACCCACTCCAGTCAGAGGGCTCGTCTTATCGCAGACCGGGGTGTGGCTGGGGATGGTCTTCCAGGTCCCCAAGGTGAGGTAAGCTCTGAGCTCATCCGGCAGGACGCCCCGCCTGGACAAGCGGCGGGTCAAAGCGTGGAGCCTGCCAGAGTTTGGAGAGCGGGGCCTGGGAACCCGGTGCAGCCCGGCTGCCAGCTCCCGGCAGAAGCAGGGTGTCCCTAGCGGGGGGGGTCGGGGGGGGCGGTGAAGACCCTGGCCCCGCCCAGGTTCCCGGCGGGATGGGCCTGGCTCCATTCCCATCACCACAGGTAACACGACCGCCTGCCCGTGAGCGCCAGCCCTGGGATGGCGCGGCACCGCCTCTCCGCAGGCGTCCGGCTGGGCGCCAGGTGTGGCCCCGACGAGCTCGTGTCACGCCGGCGGGAGCCTGGTCCTTCTCGGCAGCCGGGCCCCCGTTCTGCCGCTGCAGGGCCCTGAGCCTGCGGGAAGCAGCTCCTGGGTCCAGGAACGTGGGGCATTCCCCACGGGTACTTCCCAGGAGCTCAAACAGGCGGCCTCTGCAAGGAACACCCCTGGCTTGGGCCAACACCAACCCCCACCGCGACGCTGGTTCGTGGGAAATGCCAGGGCCCACAGGGTCCTTCGGCACCAGGCCAGGGTCGGGGGGCAATGCTTTGGTCCCCTGGGCTACGTCGTGTCGGAAGGTCCCACCGTGCAGCGCGTGGGGCTCTGATGCCTTCCGTCCCCACAGCCCTCACCGCTCCGCCGGGACCTCCTCGCCCTGCGGCGTGGTGTGGGCAGGCCTGAGCCCGTCCCATGCAGGAGGTTCACGGAGCTCTCTGCCCGTGGTAACGTGTGTTGGCGGAGGGATGCGGGGAACTGGCGTGGGGAAGGCGTTCTCGTGAGAGAGTGAGGGAGGCCACCTCTCACCAACCTTATCATCGCGGGCCCCTGCTCCTGAATTGGCTTCTAGGTCATTCCGCCAAACTTGGATGCTTCTGTCGAAGCAGGTGCTCCGCGCCTCCCCCGGGAACAGCCGATGGACTCGCCGAGCTTCCTGCAGGATCCACCGTCCTCTTCCCAAGGTTCCCTCCCGAGAGCGCGCAGCAGGCTGCTCCGAGGCGATTGGCTTGTTTTCGTCGCACAGGCATCCAGTTTCCCTTTTTGCCCTGGCTGCCAGGAGCCTCGGAGCGCCATTTACGGGCACACACTCAAAGGCAGCATCCTGTGACAAGGACGTGTGTGTTAACCTCACTCTGGCTCCTCATTCTGTCCCCGCCACGTCGTTCGGCCCTCCTCTAGCTCTCACCTCCGCCGTTTATCTTGTTCTGGTCCGTGAGAGCCTTAAATAATTGGGTGGTGACAAGGGGAGTGAATGTAAACAAGCAAATGATAGATGTATGTGAACAAAACAAGCCTCCCAGCACTGGTTGGAGAAGGGGCTGATAACACAGGAGAGAGGACCGGGCACGGTGCCCGGACGCACGAGCCGCCCCCTCGCTCCCCGCAGGCCCTGACCGGAGCGGGGGCCTCTGTCCTCCGGAAAGCATCACCTGGGCACACGTGTCACCTGGGTGCATGCTGGGCTCCAAGCCTCGCTCATTCACCAGAGGCGCAGATCCCAGGTAGCAGGAGGGGGAGCCCCAGCCCGTGTCCTGGAAGGGAGGGAGCAGCAGGGGGCGCTGCTTCCCCGGATCCCTCGGCTGCCCTGGTTCTGGAACCTGATTCCTTTCCTGAAGGAATCACGCAGAGCACTCCGGGCCGGGGGCCAGCCCACTGCGCCTCTTCAAGCCCGGCAGCCGGGCCTGAAGACCGGGAAGAACAAAGGGGACTTGAGGGGACTGCTCCAGGCTCCACGTGCAGAAGGGAAGCTGCTCGGTGTGCTTTCACTCAGCCTCAGTTTCCCCTCTGTACAAAGACTAAATATCCCCTTTGCAGGGTGGTGGCAAAGATCCGGCCAGAGCTTGGACTCGACGGGCAGGGGGACCCAGGCCTGAGCCCAGCCTGCCACGTGCGGTGGCCTTCTCCTTCCAGAGCCCCCCTCTGAGGACCGTCACGCCCGCCCTCTGGGGCCACGCATGCAGAGCCCCCGAACAGCGCGGGGCCCGCGGAGCGACGGGTGTTGTCCCGAGCTCCGGCCCGCAGTGGCGGCCAGCCCTGGCACCTTTCTGGGGCTCAGTTTCCCCACCTACACAAGAAAGGCTTAGAGGCAATGTGAACACGGGGCTTTGTTATTTAGGATCATTCCAAGGAAAGGCCCGAAACCCTCCCAGTCTCCAAGCAAAGTGTCCTTCCAGGTTCCTGGCGCAGAAATGCAGGCCCTGCTGCTCTTTGTCCGGGGGAGACCCCAGCCGCCCCACACCCTCCTACCTGTTGCCACCACGCTCGCAGCCAGGCCGCTCCCGCATCCGGGGGCGCTCACACCTGGGCCTCCAACACACCTGTTTGACCCTTCCGCAGACACGCCGGTCCTTCCAGGGCCCCAGGGCCCCAGGGCTCTCGGGACCAGGACCCCCCTTCTCCCCCAGATCCAGAACCCGCCCCCAGCTCTCCCCCTCCTCTGAGCCCAAGGTTCCTAACCTGTGTGCCCAGGAACTTGGGTGAACACAGACAACCGCTTTGTTCTCACCGCCATCTCCCCCGGAAGCTTCCTGCAGTGGCCAGGCAGGTCTGAGCCACAGTGCACCTGCGACCCTGTCCCCAAGGGCGGGAGAGCACAGCGGTTCCCACACCCGTGCCCCCCTGCTCCCTGCTGCCTGGAAGTCTCGCCACTACCCCACCCCCCGCCAGGCCTGGTTAGCGATGGGCTCGGAGAAGACCACAGTTCGGCGTCTTTCTAAGTGCATTTCAATCACATTGTTTCCCAGGGCGATGCTGCGGCGTTTGCTCCGTGCATTTAAGAAACATCCTTCTGACCGGGCTCCCCGGGCTCCCCAGGCGGCCCAGGGGCTCCCGACAGACAGGCGGGGTCTGCACGCGGGTCCTCTCCCGCTCCACTGTGCCAACTGTCATTCGCTTCTGCCTCTGGAGCCTTCGACCCGGGGCGACCGGCCGCGGGCGTGTCCTCTGCCAGTCCCCGGTCCCCTCACCGCACATCCAAGCCTCCCCAGCGCCCGAGGGGCTTCTGCCCACGCCTGCTCGGGCAAGGCCCTGCGTCTGAAGTGGCCCTTCAGAGGCTGCGGGGAAAGGAGAATGGAACGGCTTCCGGTGTCTCTTGGCCGTGGGCCCGGCATGAAGTGCTGGCAAGGATCGCGCCCTACCCTCTGCTCCGAGAGGCTCCCCCAGTGCAGAAAGGGAAACGGAGGCACAGAGCCGGGGGCCCTCGCAGACCCGGCCCGAGCCTGGGTCAGGGCACCCTCCCAGCTCTGAGGGTCCCAGGAGTCAGGGCAGGAGGTAGGCACTTCCTGAGGCTTTGTCCCTAAGGCAGGTGGGGGGCAGAGGGACCTTGGTCATTGCCAAGGTGGATTGTTCAGGCTCTGAGTGTGGAGGCCGGGGGCGGGGCATGGGGGGAGTTGGGGGCGGGGGCGGGGGGGGGCTGGGGAGGAGGAGCTGGAGGGTGTGGGCTTGTCCATTTCTAAGGGGAGGGGAGCAGCCCAGGCCGCTGGAGCCCGGACATGCCTGCGCAGCAGCTCCAGGGGAGCCTGAGCCCTGCACCCTGGGAGCGCCCTCTCCTCGCGGCTCCCACTCCTCCAGGTCCCCAGAGCATCCATCATGGGTTTCTCAGGCCGGGCAGGCCCAGTTCTGCGGCTGCCGCCGCTGCCGGGTGGGTCCAGGCCCGGAAGGCCGGGCGGGGGCCGGTTTGGGCCGGGGCGGGCCGGGGCGGGGCCGGCGGAGGAGGCGGGCCGGGTTGGGCTTCGCCTTTAAGTGCGGTCGGGCCCGCGGCCCGCCGACTGTCGGCCCTGAGGGAGCGGCGCTTCTCCTGTCCTCGCGCCCCGGTTGGTCATGTCCCTGCGGTCCCGGCACCCGCCCGCCTGAGGCCGCTGGCGGATGCGGCCGCACGCCCGTCCTCGGCCCCGACGCAAGCGCCCAGCGCCCGGCCCCGACGCGACCCCGGCGTCCACGCGGGCCCCAGGCCGGTCCCCCGCGTCGCGGCCCGCCGCCGGCCCGCCCGCTATGCTGGCGCGGGCGCTGCTGCTGCTGCTGGCCGCGCTGGCCGCACTGGCGCTGGCCCGGGAGCCCCCGGCGGCGCCGTGTCCCGCGCGCTGCGACGTGTCGCGGTGCCCGAGCCCCCGCTGCCCCGGCGGCTACGTGCCGGATCTCTGCAACTGCTGCCTGGTCTGCGCCGCCAGCGAGGGCGAGCGGTGCGGCGGCGCCCTGGACTCGCCGTGCGGGGAGAGCCTGGAGTGCGCGCGCGGCGTGTGCCGCTGCCGCTGGGCGCACGCCGTGTGTGGCACCGACGGACACACCTATACCAACGTGTGCGCGCTGCAGGCGGCCAGCCGGCGGTCGCTGCAGGTCTCCGGGGCGCCAGTGCGCCAGCTGCAGAAGGGGGCCTGCCCATTGGGTAAGTGCTCGGCGGCAGGAGCCCCCAGGCAGGGGCGGCGGCGGGGACCGGGGCCTGCTCCTGGGGAAAGGGAGGCTCAGAGCTAGGGTAGAGCCTCCAGGTCCCCCACGCCTGGGCACAACCAGAGGAGGACCCATGGGAAATCACCTAGCCAGCCTGCAGGTTTTCCAGGTGGGGAAACTGAGGCCCAAAGGGGTTAAACTGCTGTCTCCAGGGTCAGCAACTAGTCAGAAGTGAATCCCGGGGCTCCCCCAACTGCCCCACAGGGCCCTGCCTCGGCACGCGCCTCCTTCCCTCCCCGTGGCTGCTCATCCCTGCTCTGTCCAGGTGCCGGGAAAAGCAGCCTTTCTGGCCTTAGCCCCGCCTGGGTGTCCGCTCAGCAACGTTTGGCGTGCGTGTCCTTCCTCTTTAGCTGCACTGGACAGGCATGTCTCCAGCGGGCTGCCTGGGGCTGGGGAGCGTGCACATGGCGCCCTGCACGGCGTGGGGCTCCCTGGGCAGAGGCTTGGGCAGGGGACCTCTCAGTCCCTCAGACCCGAATGGCCTCTTCTGACCCAGAGCTGGCCCTGGGCTGCCTCTTGCCACACAGGTTGGCCCTGTACCTGGAAGAAAATGCTAGAAAATCCCTCTGTTCCCTCATAGGTTTAGGATGCCCTTAAGAAGGCACTGGGTCAACAGGTATTCACGCCCTGTGTTGGGCAGGCTCGTGGGGGCCCTCAGCCCGCAGCTTCAGGGGGACGGAGCAGCCTTCAGGGATGGGGGGCATCTCAGCCTGAGACATGCCTGGAAGGCTGGGGGGGTCGCTTGAACCAGCTCATGGGGGTGACTCTGTGCAGGGGGCGGGGGGCGGGGGGAGCAAATAGCCCCGAGCAGCTGGCGTGTGTGTGGGGGGTGTGTGCGTGCGCACGCGGGCATGTGGGTGCCTGTGTGTGCCACCCAGGGCTGGGCAAGTTGGCGGGGATAAGACGACCGGTGGCCAAAGCTTTGTGCCAATGGCTGAGACTTCATTCTGTAGGCCGGGCTTCCCACAATGCCTGGCACGCTGAAAATGAGGGTCCCGATGCCTGAAAAGATGGCAGAAGGGGGCCCTGTGCCTGCAGCGGGGGGTCACGCTTGATTCTCTCAGAGCGTCCGAGGAAGCTCACAGTAAGGACACGCGCACACGCAGATGGCAACACCCAAGGGAACTTCAACAGCGAGCGCCGCTGTCCTGGCAGAACACCCAATTCCTCCCGGCACCGCGGGTTCCGGAGCGTTAGATGGGACTGGCCGTGACTGGGGGTGCGTGGCCATCGCCGGGCTCTAGTGGAGGAGGGTGATGTGTCACACTTGTGTTTTGATTGTGCCCAGGAAGGGGGGGTGGCGGGGGGGGGATGAGAGCTTGCTGCCCCTGGCTGTCGCGGGGTGGGTGCTGACCTGGAATGAGGGGGCGTCCGCTGCACCCTCGGGGGTGGCCCATCTGCTTTGGGGCTCGGTACTGGTGGGCCCCTCTCAGGCCACGCCGACGGGCTGAGAGAGGGAGGGCTCCGGGTGGGCGCCCGCCCACAGCAGCTTGGTTGTGTCGGTGGAGGCCCCTCCCACGTCCTGACCCCCAGGCAGCAGATGCTGTTAACATGCGACTGCAGGGCCGGGGACAGGCGGGAGGGAGGCGGTGGCCCCGGCATCTGAAACCCTCGTCCTTGGCCAACCGTGTCTTCCTCTGTGACGTGCCCTCTTGGCGGCCAGGCTGGTGGGCGACAAGGCACCTCCAGGAGGCAGAGGCCGCGCCCTGGGGAAGCTCCGGGTGCAGGAAGAGGGGAGCAGCCCGCTGACCACGGACTGTCCACAGGTGGCTCAGCGGGCGGCAGGCAGCGGCTGGGCGGGGACGTCATGGGCGGGGGCGCCCAGGATGGCCCTTACGCGCCAGGGCCTTAGGCTGCAAGTTACGTAGCCTCAGCTCCCTCGCCTGTGAAGCGGGGAGGCCGTAGCTGTGAAGCGTGCACGTCCTGCGCCGGTGCCTCCATCGGGACTCCCGCCTTCCCCGCCCCGTCCACCTGCAGGGTCAGGGGTGCGCTGCACTGCGCTGCGGCTGGCGAGCGGGCACGGGAAGGGGAGAGGGAGGCGAGGCCTCGCGGCAGCGGGCAGCACCGGCAGTCCGGGGTCCTGGGAGCGCCCTTGGGTCCCGACACGCGGATTTCCGCAGGGCGACAGACACATGCAAAGTCCCGTCCCTGCGGAGTCTTTGCCGGGGCCGACGCTGTCTCGTTGGCCTCTGCGGATCTGGTCCTTCCTACACCGCAGACGTGCCCACGGAGGCAGAGAGGGGGCAAGTGACTTGTCTGAGGTCAGCCGGCCAGGAAGTGACCGAGCCAGGCCTGGCTTCCGGTCTGGCTGGCTTTGAAAGCCACGCTCGCCAGGGTCCCAGGCTTCCCTCTGCAGCTGGGAGCCTGGGGCCGGGCCAGGCCTGGGTCTCCGGCTCCATCCCGTCAGCTTCCACGCAGGGTCACTGGCCGCCCTGCTGCCCTGCGGAGGGACGGGCCGGAGGCCGCTGGGCGGTGTCCCCGCGTCGCAGCGGGTCAGCCTGCCCATCCGGAGCCCGTCCGCACGGAAGCCCCGCAGCCGTACCCTCCCCCGGGCCTGCGCTCGCGTGCGCCCAGGCGCTGGCGACGGGGTCCTGCGCTGGAGCCCTGTGTGCCAGCTGGACGTGGTCCTCAGCCAAGAGGGCCACCCTGGGAAGTTTAGGTCCAACCTCTGACCCTCCACGTCTCCCTATTGCTTAGCCCGCACCCACGGGTGGGGCTTTAGCTGCACCTGGACATGTGCCCCCAGCTGGGTGGGCCTCCTCCTGCCCGGGGGATGCTGGCTTCCATCTCTTCACCGCCCCCTCCTCCCGCCCTCCGGGTACTTCTGCACCCAGCAGCCAGGACGGCCGCGCGAAGTCTGCCCTGCCTGTCACCAGCGGGACCCCCTCGCCAGCTCCCCAACACCTACCCTGACCCGCGCGTTCCCATGCCACCCGGCCCCTCCCGCCCCGAACACCACCTCGCCCTCTGTGCTCCGGGCTCCTTCCCGCCTCAGGGCCTCGGCACCCGCCGCCCGGAATTCCTGCTCCCTCGCCCCCCCGCGGCGCTGTCCTCATCCTGCGGCCCGGGGGGGCCCTCCACCCCTGAGCTGCCCTCCCGGACTCCCAGGCCTAGCAGCCCCCTTTTTGGCCTCACAAGTGCACCCTGGGCCCCCTTACACCCTCACCCTGCCTTCTGACGCAGGGCCTTCTCTGCCTTCGCCGGGCTCTGGCCTCGCAGGGCGGGGGCTGGCCTGTTTGGTCCCTGCCAGAGCAGGCCCGTGGCACCCTGTAGGTGCCGCGGGCCCCCATGTGCTGCGTGAATCTCCCACAGCCCTCCCAGCCATCCGTGCATGCCCCCAGCGGCGGGGGCTCACCGCCTCTCCTGGGGCAGGGTGGGGGGCGGAAAAATGCCGCTACGGGGGATAGCAAGGGCCAGGCGGCGGTGCTGGGAGGGCCGCGCCGCGGAGAGGCCCCCCTCCCACCCCGGAGCCCGGCCCGCGGCACCTGCAGACAGAGGGCCCAGGAGCGCGCCATCCATTCAGAATGTGGAGCCCTGGGGCCGTTTACAATGTGGCATTTAATAATCAGCTTTTATTGTGCAACCCCGAGTAGGTTCCTACTGCGGCTCAGTTTTATTTAATTAAGAGCTTTGGTTGGCTTTTGATTTTTAATCCTCTTAGCGAGTCAGGCAAGTGGACGCCTCCCTGGCTTCTTCTCTCCCTCGGGACAGCAGAGCTGAGCGGCAACATCTGGTGCTGGCTGGGCTGCCGGTGCCAAGGCCGCTGTGCGCCAGGAGACCGGCCAGAGAGGAGCAGACGGCCCAGGGCGCTGCGTGACTGCCCCCGCCGCCCCCCTCACCCACCACAGTCCCTCTGGGCTGCACAGGCCGGCCTGGGGGTGCAGCCAGCTCCCCAGGTACCCCCTCGGGGTCGGCCTCCTGTGCACCTCCGCACAGCGAGGCTCGGATCGCCCCTTCCTCCCGAAAGCCCCCCCGTGGCTCCCACAGCCTTCGGCACCAAGCACAGGCTCAGTGCGGCCGTGGATGTCCTGTGGTCTGGCCTCGGCTTCTTGCCCTGGGTCCCCACCCCTAGCAGATCCCCGAGAAATTCCGTCCCACACTGTGAGGGGCACGTGAGGGGGTGTGGAACCCAGCGAGGGGTGGGTCAGCAGGCGCTCCTGGGGGAGGCGGCGTCCCCACGGCGTGGGGAGGGCGGCAGGGCCACCGGGCGTGGGCAGTGCCCGTGGAGGAGCCGGGAGGGCGGCCCACCTGCTGGGTGGGGTGGGGGCTGTGCCGGGTAGAGGGACAGCGGGCCCCGCGAAGCCACTTGGGGAGGGCCGTGAGTCAGGCTCGGTTCGGGCAGGGCCTGGCCTGGGGGCGTCCATGGGGGCGCCGGGCTCCGTGAGGGGAGCCTGGCTGAGGCGTGGCGCCGCCTGTGTGTCTGCCGGTGGCCACGGTACTGTGTGAGTGTGTGTGTGTCATCGAGAGGGTGTGGCCTATATTCGGGACAGGACACCAGGCTCACCTGCTTGCCAGCCCGGGGGGGCCTCCCCATGACCTGTGCGGCCCCACCCCTCCCGTCCTTGCCTTCACGTGCACGTCGGCGGGGACCTGGAGGAGACACCCGCCACCTGGGGAGGGACAGAGCATGGCCAGGCTGGGAGCGTCACGCTGGCTGAGCTGGCGCCGCGTGGGCCCCGCAGCGCGGGCTGGGGAGCCCGGGGGCTCCTGCGGACCGGGCGGGGAGTGGGCGGGGCGCTGCCCAGCGGGCTGCCGTGTCCTGACACAGGGCCTCCGCCCCGCCGCCTCCTGTGGCCTCCCTGCCTGGAGGGAGAGAAGCCACTCGGTCTGACAGGGTCAAGGGCGAAGCCCTGGGCCAGTTCTCGCAGCTCACGTCATGCACGCACGCTCAGGTGCTTTGGTGACCGCCCTTTACAAGAAGAAACTCAGCGAGCCGCC